TCGAACGCGTCGCATAAAACAATCGGTTATTTTCAGGGCTCTTTCCAGGAAAGTTGGTCCATAAATATTATTGATAAGTGATCAGTGTTTAGTGATAATGCAGTGAAAGTAAACGTTGAAATTGCCTGCCCGGAAATATCCTCCTGTTCGTCGCCGTCGGATACAGATCAGCTGTGCAATTCATCATACATTGTACGAGATCAATGCACTATTCTGCACACATTTCCGTGCATGAAGTGGATTTACAACTAATTGGGTGAGTTGTTTATTCATAATATCTTTCATATTTCTGTAACAAACAAATCCCTTACGTCTCTTAACGCGATTATTTATTATTAAATTAGCTTTGCGAATCGTTCGTTGAACTGCGTTCGGACACGGAATTTTTTAAGTTAAAATATCATTTACGTTCTTTGTTAATCTTCACTGTACACTTTGCTTAAAAATTTCAAATGTTCCACACGAGGTGTCATACGCACCAGACAATTAAAACGGCCATCACGGTTAAATTACTTACTATTTCAGATTCGAAAAATTAGTAAGTATTCTTCAGACATTCTGAAATAAGGACGAATAGCGTTTTTCTTAAAATTATTACTGTGGCGTAGTAAAATAAGATTCGGAAGTTCACGCAGCGTGACTTGATCATTAATTTGAACGCACCACGCCCCACGTTCTATCCGTTGGAATACCCTGTATATCGATGAATATACACATATTCCGATAATGTTTCGCATTCTAACAACACGTTTTAATTTTACGGGGCAAGTGTTACGATAAACGTACAGTTTCTCTCGAGGTTATATTTTTTTGTAATTTTAGAACCGTCGATGTATAATTCTTTTGCATTTAAGATCACGAATAAGTCCTTGACTAGCTCTTGATCTCTCTCGCCGTGAGTTTCCTCAAATGTCACGTAACTCCATCCCTGACGTCACGGATAACCAGTTTAGCAGGGTAGAGCTAGAGGTCAACAGGGTTATCAGAGAAGCTTTCACGTTTGTAATTGATCAGGTCATGTCGCGTCGGTCGACGACGCTGCCCTCTTGTCCTACTCTGCTGAACTGCTCATTCGTGAAGTCACGAACGCATTCAGGTGACATTTGAGGAAAAATACCCAACGGTGATCCTGATTCTAGTTGTTGCATCGTAATGATAGCAGTATAAATAAACATTGTAAACAATAATGTAAATAAGCATTGGTAAAATTGAAATCGAGAGGAAGCAATGTTTAAAAAAGCATGTGTATGTTTATCGTCAAGCATGTTCAAAGCAAACTGTGTTTCTGTTTGAGATTCTTCCATATTATCAGCAGAATGAAANATTGGAAACAATAATGTAAATAAACATTGGTAAAATTGAAATCGAGAGGAAGCACGTGTTTAAAAAAGCATGTGTATGTTTATCGTCAAGCATGTTCAAAGCAAACTGTGTTTCTGTTTGAGATTCTTCCATATTATCAGCAGAATGAAATATTTTTAGTGTTTTTTAGTTTATTCTCTTTTTAGATTTTTATAATAGCTAGTTCGTAATAAGAGATAATTTGTTGTGGTTTCTCTAGCATAAGTGTGACAATTTCTGTGTCCATTAAAGTGACATTCGACATTTTCGACAAATTAAGTAGTTACTTTATTTCATAAAACACTGTAGATTTTTTCTTGTTTTCAGCATTTAAGCAATTAAGAAAAAATTAGTATTTACTAACAATTGTAGTGGTCATGATGGAAAGTAGATAATTAAAAGAAAATCGATCTTTTCAAACTACTGGATGAAAATACTAATTTGAATTTTTAAAGAGCCTACTTACCAAAACGTTAAGGTCATGTGGATCGTGGAAGTAATTGGGTACAACCATCGGAAGCTCGTCTACGTCGCTGGAGCGCAATTTCACGTACCCTCTACTACGAGGTCTTAGCAAAAGGGGAATGGAACCGTACGAAGGCTCATAAATTATATTCTCGTACATTTCCGCGTAGAAGTCGTTGTTCACATTGTTGACCCTACTTACGAAAATCCCGCCGTCGGCTTCATCCGTTATGCTTGACAGGAAGAGCTGTATATCAGGATAATCATCCGATTTATTCGCGTACCTGAAGAATTCGAATAAATATGTGAATATTTGATTGTTTCATAATATCTACAATTTTTTGAATATTTGAATAAATCATGTAATAAGTTGTCATACAAATTTGTTACTGATAACACGCAGGAAGATGACGTGAATTTTTCATAAGGATTTGAGGATTTACGTAGTTGATCGATTCTTGTTAAAAAGTCAGTGGAACAAAATTTTTAGTGATTATACAAGGTGTTTCAGGACTGGCGTTACCACTGGAAAATGGTATTCCGAAAGTAAAATAACCCTGACCAATTAGAGAGGTTGAACAACTGGTGTCCCGTCCTCGGAACCAATGCATAGTCGTGCACGCTATCGCGACGGTGGGGCGTTATCGCGTACTCGCTTTTCGACTGAGCCGTATTTTTCCAGAATATCTCGTTAATGAAGCGGTTTGCATCATTTACGTAAAGATCAAAGTTACCTCGAATCAAGACTGTGATAACAAAGAATCTAGTTGATTAGGTAACATGTTTCCACAATAAANAAGAATCTAGTTGATTAGGTAACATGTTTCCACAATAAAAATTCACGAGTATAATTCCTATCTTTGCTGAGGTAAGCAAAAGTAGACCTTAAAATCTCTGTTTTATAAACAGACTAGTATTCAGCAACATAATGACTGAAA